GGGGGGGATGGGAGAGGTGAGAAAGACCGGCCCCCAGGGCCTCCAGGGCCTCCAGGCCCCAGGCTCAAGTGCTAGCCCCAGGCTGCAACATCTGGGGGCTTCGTGCTCCCGGCCCTGGGTGTATGATTTCACCAATGTCCTTGTCTTTGAACTCAGATGGTCTATCTGTGGTTCTGCCTGCACTGCCCAGGGCTACGGTCAGTGGCAGTGCAGAGTGCGTAGGAACTGTTGTTGGTGCTGGCAGAGGCCTGAGAAGGGATAAGCCCCATCTGTGGTAAAAGAGCCCAAGTTCAAGGCAGAGCTGAGCCAAACCCACAACCGGTGTGAGCCTGGCAAGGAGCGGTTCTGTGGCCCGCAGCGTGTTCTCTGAGCCCCTGTGGCTATGGGAGCTGGCTTGGAGAGTCTCCAGACCCAGGGCCGGTCACCTCCTCAAGCCTTCCTCTTACTGCGCTGCACTGGGACTAGGGTCAGCCACAGGCACTCCAAGCCAGGCAAGAGCAGGAGGGCGAAGAGGGGAGGTTCGGAGATGCTGAAGGGGCAGGGCTGGAGGGAGGAAGCTGAGCGCTGCAGGCGTTTTCACGGCTGCCGCCTTACTCCTGGCACAAAGGCGTCTGCTTGAAGGCCCTCCCTTGGGGGTGAACCGTCCACCCTTGGCAATCATCCATGGCAAGATGCAGTTCTGATCCAAGTGAGTGGGCTTCCTGGAGGCCCCGGGGCTAGGACCAGCAGGCCACGCTCGGCCGACCTAACTGTGGCTCCTTGGCACAGGCGGGCAGCAGGCTGAGCACGCTGATGGGCTGCCTGCTCCTGCCCAGACTCCTTCCGGCCCAGTGAATGGACCCAGGGTTGAACTCAGGGTGACAGCACACTCGAGTCCCCTGACGGAGGGAAGCGGCCTGGGAGGGCTCGGTGGCCTCCCTCCAGACGCGCCCAAAGCCCCCTGGGGGCCCTGGAGGCACCGAGGGAGGGAAAGATTCATTCTGGGGCCAACCAGCATCCCGTGTAGTTTCCCCGGAGATACCCAGGACAGGGACCTTCGGTGGACACAACTGCCCTGTCCCCGGGGGCCGAGTCCCGGGGAGCAGCACAGGGAGCAGCGAGTGGGCTCTCGGAGCCACAGGAGAGCCCGCCTGTGGGGAGGACGGGTGGGGAGGCCTCGGGGAGTCTCCAGGCCCAGGGCCCAGGCAGGCGTTCCTGAGGGTGGCCGGCGCCCCTAGCCCGGCTCTGCTCCTACTGCAACACTGTGCAGCCAACCCCCAGGTCCCACCCCTCCCTGGGCGGGGTCAGCCCTCCTGGTAGAGCCCAGGTGGTGAGCACTCGGGGTGTAGGGAGCCCCTGGACCTGGGTGCAGCCCTGCCTTCGTGCCACAGCGGGGCTGCCAGCCTGTCTGGCGGAGCAGTGAGGGTGGCCCCATGGTGGAGTGCCTGCCCCATATGCCCAAGTCGGGCTGCAGCCCTGTCCACTCAGGGGGTAAAATTCCATACAATTTCTGCAAGCCACAAAATGGAACTCTTAAAACGTTATTCCCAGCCACTTAAAATGTGAAACCTACTTGCACTTAACCACACACCCCGCATCTGCCTTCGGCCAGAGTCGACCAGGCGTCTGCCGTCCTCGCTTGGGGCAAACGAAGGGCCTACTAACAGGCTTTCCACAGGCACTGGCACGGTCAGCCTGTAGGGCAGAGATTCTGGGCAGCAATGGGGGACAGCTGTGAGAAGAGGGCTCAGGCCTGACCAGTCTATCCAGTGAGGTCAGCTCTCAGGAGCTGAGAATAGAAGAGTGGTCACCAGCCCCAGGAGAGGTGGGGAGGGAGGGAGGGCTGCAGCAGGAAGTGCCACCGTTAGACAGCGGGGACCCCGGGGCTCTGCTGTACCCCAGGACGACCACACTCTCAGGACCACGTATCCTGTGTTTCAAAATACCTGGGCTCTACCAGGAGGGCTGACCCCGCCCACGGAGGGGTGGGACCCGGGGGTTGGCTGCACAGTGTTGCAGTAGGAGCAGAGGCGGGCTAGGGGCGCTGGCCACCCTCTGAGGAGTGACACCCCTGCTCCTTATCCAGATTTGGGCACACTGATGCCACGTTGTGCCCCACAAAATGGACAATTACCATGTGTCCATTAAAAGCAAAATTCAATGTAAACCAATCTCTCCACGTGAAAAGGCGGCATATTCTACTACAGGTCAGCACCAGAGCATGCTCAGGTGGCTTCCCTGCCCCATGATGTCCTCCTCTGCCCCTGCATGTCTTCCTCTCAGCTCCTCCCTCCCCACCTCAGATGCAGACAGAGGCTCTTCTGGGGGATCAGCTTCCCTGTCTATGGACAGTGGTAGTGAGTGCAGGACG